TGCCGGGCGGACTGACAGGATTGAACTTGGCCCCATGATTGCACAGAGCAGCAGCTCCCCCACGCCATGCTCACACACTGACCCTCTTTCTCTGGGGACCTTCGACCAGTGCACCTGCAACCACCATCCCGAGAGCCCGTGAGCCCTGGCAAAGAAACCACAGGAGCCTCAGAGTCGGGACTGGAGAACCAGGAAACCAAGTGCTGCAGCCATGCAGCGGGGACCATCTGTCCACCCCACGCCGCTCTGTGGACAAAGCCAGGCACCAAAGGCCACCTAAGCCAGATGTCCCCAAGGGCGAGACCCTGGGGCAGAAGGCAGCGACGGCCGCCAGGCTGGGGCAGGGAGGACGGGAGTGACCGCTGAGGAGTGTGGGGTGTCCTTCTGGGGCGATGACCAAGTTCTAGAAGAAGGAGGTGGCACTGTGGCACCTCACCCTGTGCCAGATGGAAGTCAGCGCAGCCTAAAGGAGGAAGGGGCTGTGTGGGGGACAGACAGCTCCAGCTGCCACCCAGGGGAGCACGTCTTGTACCTTCTAGCCCCAGCCCAGCTCCAGAATGCACAGGAGTGACCTCAGGGGCACTGCGTGGCACGGGAGAACCACCGGCCAACACCAAGACTCCTGAGAGACCATATGCAGCTGCCTCCAGCCTCCAAGCCCCAGGGGAGGGGCTGTTTGTTACTCAGCAGCAGATAACGGACACACACAGGCGGGAAGACCTTTGGGAACACAGAGGGAGGAAGGGAAGGTTCCGATGGAGAAGGCAAAGGAGGGAGGGGGAGAGAGACCCACTGTGGATCGAGGGGAGACTGTTCCCGGGACCTAGGAGAGGAGCGTCCTGGAGAAGTTGCCTGACCACTGTCACTACAGGCCTTGATCATCTGGAGCCATCGAGAATCTGCAGTTTATCTGCCACCACAGATGACATCGGCTAATGCAGATGAGGACCAGTGGAGGAGTGGATGGGGTGGAGGCCCTGTGGGTGCTGGTGCTGGTGCCCTCACCGGGCTCCGGGGCAGGTGTGCAGATGGCTCACCTCCCTGATCATCGCAGCACACCAGCATGGTGGGTTCTGTCATTGTCCTCATCTTATAGATGAAGTCAAGGAGGTTAACTTCCCCAAGTTGGCACAGAGAGGTTAAGGAACTTGCCCACAGCAGCACAGCTGGTGAATGGTGAAGCTGGGATTTGAACCCAGACAGTCTGACTCAAGAATCAACACCCTGGGATATTTTAAATCACTGATCAATTTGAAAGTACAGTGACTGTTACAGCCTCTCTCCTCGGGGAGTTCCTGGGACTTGTCCACGGACCTTTTTGGTGCCATGGGCTCTGGCTCGGACTCCTCATTAGTCTATTCCCTCGGCATCTGTACAGGTTCTTGAGTTCACACAGAGGAGCTGACTGACAGATTGCACGGAAGCAGATGTGCCACTCAGCATAGGCTGTGCTGCGCTACAGTAACAAACAGCCCCAACATCTCAGTTAAAGGGAAGAAAGGTGCATATCTTGATTGCATTACGAGGTTGTTACCATCACTGTGGGGCCCCTGGCTATTAGAGCAGGTGACTATGGACCCATCATGGATCGTCATGGCCAAGGGGGAAGAGACACAGACCAGGTGCTGACTTCAAAGCTTCCACCCAGGTCACACCTCACTTCTGCCCTCTTACCTGGGCTGAGGCAAGCTGCATGGCCACTCCTGAATGGAGGGCAGGCATGGGGAAGGGAAGCAGAATTTAGGACCAGTAACAAAACTTGTGGTGTGGAGTCTAGCAGAGGCTCAGAAGGCACTGAGTGGCCCAGGGGATCTGTGAGAGGCTGGCTTCAGAAGGAGGGCCCCTGTCTGGCTCAGAGCAACAGACAGGTGACTGCCCCCTGGGATGACAGTTGTAGGGGAGTGTGAGACACAGAGAGGGAGAGACAGACAAGGGAACATGCAAGTGGGACCACTGGAAAGGATCACTGTTCCTGTTTACTGGGTGCAGAAACTTCTCTATTATACGCTCATTTAATCTTGTGAAGTAGTGACCATCAGCAGCAGGATCACCCTATTTCCCAGGTTCAGGAACCCAGGCACAGAGAAGTCAAGTCATTATGCTGTGCCACCTCCCAGGGCTGTTTAAGTCACTCCTGAGCTGACCCCTGCATTCTGCATCCGAGTGGGAGTTGTAACGTCTGGGCTGGGACAAGGGACCTGTGTGACGTTCCTGGTCTTGCCAAGTTCCAGGCTCGCCACTCTTTGAAGCCAAGACCTTGCTCGCATTCTCACCCTAGACTGGAACTTTCCTGGTCTCTAGGCCCACCCCCCTTGTTAGGGTGGAAGTGTCCCTGTCCCTCTGCACCCCAGGCCTCTCATCTCCCACCTCTGTCCTTCCTTGCTGTGACACCCTGGTCAGGCTGCTCCACCTCTCTGAGCCCCTGGGGAGTGGGGTGGTTCATGCCACCGAGGTGGATTTCATGAGATTCAACTATGCCGAGGCGGAGCCCGCACAGGGCTTGGCACAGGCCGTCACTGCCGGCTCTGGCACTGTTCCCACGACGGCCATCCCTCCATTTCTCTTCTGCCCCTGGAGCCAATGCCTCCTGCTGGATGGCCCCTCCCACCCTGGGGACAAGCCCCCTCCCACCCCGAATCTTCCTCTGTCCTCCACATCAAGATTCCTCAAAGAGCTGTCCACGGCCTCAATGTCCCCAACTCTCTGTCCCCACTCCGGACCATCCTGATTCTGCCCCACACCCTCCAACAAACTGCCCTAATCAAGGCGGAAATCCAAAGGTCCTTCCTACTTCTCATGTCCCTGAATCCTTCACCAAGTTCCATCAGTCTCGACTTGGTCCCCCCCGCCACGTCCCCATCCTGGGCACGTGTCTCTTGGCCTTGGGGGTCCCTGTCACCTGGTTTATTTCCTCCCTCTCTGCTTTCTCCTCTGCCTACAGCTCTCTGGTCTGGCATGGGCCCCCTACAGGTGGGGCGTCTCAAGGCCCCGTTGATGTCACAGACCTCCTAGGCAGCCCGCCCCAGGGCTTGCTGACAAATCCCCAAACTCAAATCCCCCTCTCCTGAACTGCCGGTGTCCCTGCTCTGTCCCCTCCTGTTCCCTCTGCGTGAACCACCTGTTCCCCAAGCCTGTTCACCTGTGCTGGGGACTCTCCTGCAGGCCACCCCTCCCGCTTCGACCCGCTTCCACCCTCTGGCTCCACGCAGCGCCCCGGCCTGGCGCCTGCATGCCCCACACCTGCGACCCTCCACCTGGGCGGCCCTCCACCTGGGCGTGGGCTGGGCTCACCAGAGGGAGGCGGCAGCAGGGGACCGGTGGGAGGGAGCAGGGTAAGGCCCGGGTGCTGCCTGTCCCGGGCCCTCCCCGCTGGGCGTGGGCTGGCGACGCCTGCGCTCCTGTCCTTGGCCAAAGCCACAGCCACGCGTCTCCTCAGCCGCGAGGACCGCTCCCTGCGCCCCACGCCCGGGCGGCAGCGGCGCCCCCTGCTGGCGGCCCTGGGTACGGCGCCGCCCCGCCCCGTCCCCTGCCCGCAGGTCCTTCTCCCAGCGGCTTTCCGGCCACCTGCCTTAGAAGTGCCACCTTTCCCCGCCGGGATGCTCTTTCCGAATCCCTTCGCCGGCCTGGTCCCTTTTCCCGCTTCTCACCTGGCACTCCCGCCATCCAACCCAGCCTCCCCGCTTCCAGCGCCAACCTGGTTTCCAACTTCGGCATCGCGGAGAGCAGGAGGAGCCTCCGACCACGAGGTCCACTGCCACCGCCCGCCTCTCCCCCTTGGCGTCCCCTTCGCCCTTCGATTGCAAGACCTGCTGGAACGTCACCTAGGACGGGTCCTCTTCACGGCCCCGCCCACCCGGCTTATTTCCTACTGTCCCGAAGGTGCAGGACTCTGGAGGAGCCACCACCCGCAGCTCTGCACACCTTTGCACCGGCGGTGCCTCTGCCCGCGCGCACCCTCCTGACCCCAGGACGCCGAGAGCTGCTTTAGTCAGGAAGCCCCCACCGGCCCTCGGCTCAAGTCGGGATCCCTCTCCCTACTGTTCCCAGGACTGAAGAGTTTGGGGCTGATGAACAGGGCGTGGCCAGTGGGGGCCCCAGCCGAGGGCGTGGGCGTGGCTAGGGGAGGCAGCCCTCCTGCGTGGCGGGTAGACGTGGTGTCTCCCCCAGAGGACTGGGGACCCTAAAAGCCCAGATTATCTGGTCTGCATCACAATTGCCCACATCTCAAACACCTCATCCGCCCCCTCCTCTCGAATCCCAACGTCCCACCGCAAGACGTTTTCAGGCAGAATTTCAAAATTTTATGGCAACTTGTACGGAATCACAGAGACGGTGAGGGGTGCTGATGAGCTGAGGGCGAGGAGGGGTGGGTGAGTCTGGGTGTGGAGACTAGCACAACTGGACGACAGAAGGCGAAGAACTCGTGGGGAGCACGAGGTTATGGGGTGGCAGGGTCATCCTAGGGGCGTAAGGAGTGGGCCACACTCCCCATATCCCAGGTATGCCCTTTAGGCCGGAAATAGGGGCAGTAAGAAAATGCAGGAGGCTACCAACAGATGGGTGACCTCCAAAGTTAAAAATGCCCACCCAGACCCTGGGCCCCACCCTCCCACCCACACCAACCCCGCCCCCCAACAGGCAGAGATGTGGCAGCATTTGCTGGCTTGTAGCATTGGTCCTCTGGGACCCTCGGTCCTCTTCGAGGGTCCTGCCCAAATTGGCTGGCACTGAGGGCAAAATGAACCTTCGAGATTGTCAGGGGAGATGGGCTGGAATCCCTTTGACCCCCAGTCTCCTCCCCAAAGCCGGATCTCAAGGCTGAGGGAGTCTGCTGCCCTCTGAAACGGAAAGCCATTCACCCCTTTCCCAAGACATGCACCCTCCCGAGTCCCCCCTCCCCCAAACACACTATATACACGCACAAGCCCCTCCCTCCAAGGCGTGGCTGGGCTCCCAGAGGTAGTGGAGGGCAGGTAGGGCGCTGGAATGTGAGAAGTTGCGGGTTCGAGACGTGCCGCCTCCAGCCGGAGCCTTGGGAGGAAACCAGGCTTCTCCCTCCCTCCCCGGCTCGGGGTCAGTGTCCTCCCGCAGCCCCGGGGAGAAGTCCTAGCACACCCACCCACCTGCCCCCTGGGCCGACTGGGCTCCCTGCTGGGGAAGGGCTGCGCTCTGGCTTCCTGGGATGGACCCGCACCGCCAAGGCTTCCCGGGAAGGGCAAGTTCTGGGCACGGAAGGGGGGTGTCGTCGGGGGAAGGGAGACTATGGGACAGTTAGGCTGGGCGTCTGGGAGAAAGAGACGCTGGGCTCTCTGGAGGAATGGTCACTGGGGTGGTTCTATGGGAGGGGCCTGGAGGTGGACATTTCCCCGGGGATGTAAGTAACCAGGGTGGGCTGGAGTTAGGGTAACCACAGAGGTTTTCCTCAGAGAAGGCAGGGGAACTCGGGGGGTGGGGGGCCTGAGTCACTGGGGACAAAGGACAGGGGGCAATGGGATCCCAGGAATAGGGAAGCTGAACCCCAGGAGGCGGCGGCCCTGTCTTTGCGGAGGAAGGAGCTGAGTCCCAGCGTTCCAGGCTGAGTCTGGAGAACGAGACCGAGGGTCCGAGAGCAGGTGCAGCCGAGTCCCGCGGAGGCAGGGCCCTAGAAACCCCGGATGTGGCAGTAAGCCTCGAGGCTGGCGAAGAGGATGTAGAGGAACCAGAGGCCCAGGAAGAGCGCGGTGGTGGCGAGCTTGGGTCCGCGCGGGCCGCCCAGCTCGCCGCCGATGTGCGGCCGGCGCCGGTAGAGCAGCACGGCGATGCCCACGAAGGCGAAAACGGTGAAGAGCGTGACGGAGAAGGCCAGCGTGCCCGTGCGCACCTCGAAGGGGCGGCCCTGCACCGCCCAGTACACGGCGGCCACCGACCAGGCCACGCCCAGGCCCAGGAAGACGTTCACGGCGTTGGAGCCCGTCACGTTGCCGATGGACGCGTCCGCACACTGGTCCTGCAGCGCCGCCACCTTGCTGGCGAAGGTGTCTGCGGGGCAGAGACCGCGGTCGGAGGGGCCCAGCGCGCCGCCCCCGCCCCGCCGCCTGCTTTCCAGCAGACCCCCCCTACCCTGGGCCCTCGGCGGGCGCAGCTGGAAGCCGACCAGGACCCGGAGGCGAAGTCCCTGGAGGCTCCCTCCCCAGGGCGCAGTCGCCTTGCCAGGGCGCCCCTGCCTGCCCTCACTTATCCAGCTGCCCTGGGGACTGAACCCGGGCCCTGGACCCCCGGCCACATCCCAGCCCGCGTTATTTTACATCTAACTTGCTGAGGCTGGCCTTGAACTTGAGATCCTCCTGCCTCAGCCTCCCAAGTGGCTGGGATCGCAGGGTGCGGTGACCGGCTTCCCTGCTTACTTTGAATGGAACCCTGCTCATTCCCCGGGAACTGTTTGCATTCAGTGGGCTCTTCTTCCTGTCTCGCAGGGCCGCGGGCTGCCTTCCCTGGCCTCCCATCAGTGGGTGCCCTGCGCACCTTCACTGCCCGCTCACTGCCCGCTCCGTGGGGCCTGTCTGCACTCATTGGGCACCGCTGCCAGCTTCGGGGACACAGCGCCTCCCATATGACTTGCTACATTCAGTGTGCTCCGCAAGTCCCACAGGAAGAGGCCATGAGTCTCTTACCTAGCAGGCCGTGGAGCCTACTAAGTGCAGACAAACCGAGAGGGAGGCAGGAGTCTGAAGGCTGCAGCGACTCCGCTGAACCGGACGCTGCCGGTCCCGGGGAAAGCGGGCTGGGCAGGCTGCGCATGCTCCCCACAGCCCGCTGGCATGGCGGTTGTGAGGTCCTGGGTCCCCTCCTCTCCCCCGGATTTAAAACAAGGCGTGGCATGGAGCCCGCCAAACACGAGCCTCCTAGGAGAGCAGTGAGGCCCCTCGGGGGCCAGGGAGCCCACTGCCACCATCCTTTACCATAAAAGGAGGCAGCGAGACCCCAGGACAGCTGCCCATGGAGCCCACTGAATGAGCCCCACGGAAGACACGGGCCCAGAGACCGCGAGAGGAGACTCCACTGGAAGTGGGCCTCCTGCTGCGGTTTCTGTGGGTCGCCTGCACTTGGAGACAGAGCTGTCTATGTGGCCTGTCTGCATTCAGTGGGCACCATTGCATACTTGCAAGGCACTTGCTGCCTTTTCTTTGTGGGGATGATGAGCACTGGCAGACACGCCCTGCTTGTGGGGACTCACGGGCCCCACTCTCTCCACTCGACGAGGCTCACTACTTCTTTTTTTGGGACGTGTCTGCATTCAGTGGCCTCCACTGCATACATCTCTGGGATTGTTTACATTTAGTGGGAGTCAATGCATACTTTATGTAATATCCATTCCCTTTCTCTCTAGAGACATCTGCATTCAATTGGCTCCACTGTATACTCTGATACTCACTGCCTATTCCCGTGGGACTACCTGCTTCTATGAGACTTGTCTTTATTGAGTGGGCTCCACTGTATACTTCCTATCAAATTTGTTGTCTGCTTCTATGGGACTAGGCTGCACTGAGTGGGCTCCACTGCATACTCTGTGGGAATCCCTGCATCTTCCTGTGGAGTTGCTGCCCGGGGTGCGGCATGCCTGGTTTCTAGGGCTCCAGGCCCTTTCTCTGGGGCTGCCTGTGGTCAAGGGGCTCCAGGGCCTGCTTCCTAAGGGAGCCGCTGCCTGCTCTCTCTGGCACCCGCTGGTCACTTGCTGAGCCTTTAGGGGCATGGACGACAAAGGCGTGAGGCCCCTGCCCCCGGTGTTCCTGCTCTCAGGAGAGTTTCAGTTGTCACCTTGTTTCTGAGGGACCTTCCTTAGGGGAAGGAGATGTGGCTCCTGTGGGGACGTGCCCCCAAGTGGGCGAGGCCCGCCCTGGTCTCTGGCCCTCGCCCCTCCTGCCCTCTGCTCCTCTGCTCTGATCCACCCGGGCCGGCTGGTTGCCTTCAGGCCCACAGCTCCTGGGCCACCTTCTGCCTGGCTCCCTGAGGGAGGGGACACTAGTGTCCTCCCCCTGTGGAGCCACTGAACTGCTTCCAGGGAGCCTCTGCGGAGACCAGGGACCCCTCAGCCCCCAGCTCCGCCTCCTTTCTGTGGAATCCACGCCAGCTCCTGCCCTTGCCCATGCCCGGCTCTGCGGGAGGTCCTGCCGGCTTGCTTTGGGGAGGACGCCATTCCCACATCACCAGGGACCCTGCCTGGCTGCCATCATTCCCGAATCCATTTCTCAGGGACTGAGGGTGGGCTCTGTGGGACCCCTCCTCATCTCTGCAGGGCCCCTCTGGGTGGCCCTGCCCCAGGGGCTCGCTCAGGAGTTACCAGGGATGGAGGTGCCCAGGGCCACGAAGACCACGGCGTTGACAGAGTCCTTGAGGCCCACAGTGCAGCCAAAGTGTGAGGCCAGGTCGCCGATGAGCGCGGTGAGCAGGCCGATGACCAGGATGCAGACGCCAAAGCAGGCCCAGCCGTGGCAGTACTCGGTGGGGGGCACGCAGGCGAAGAGCACCTTCCAGAACACCGTCAGGAAGTGCATGACGTAGTCGAAGCAGGACGGCAGCCGCTCCTCCCGGGACCCGTCCTCCTCCTCCTCCTCGTCCCCTGTGAGCACAGACCCCGCTGGGCACACTCGCCTCCCTCGGCCTCGCCCCTCCACACTCTCAGTGAGCCTCACCAAACTCACTGCTTCCCCGGGCCCTGCGGCCAGGGTGGCCAGGTCAACAGCTGAAGAGCTACTTTCCCAGAATCCCTTGCCCTCAGAGAGCACATGAGCCTGGGCAAAAACATTCACTTCTCAGGATCCCACATGGCATAAGGCAGATAGGGGATGCAGCTAGAGGTGGTCGAGTCTGGGTTGGAGGGCACTAGGGAGCCATGGCAGATTTTGGAACAGGGCAAATACCCAGCTTCCCAGGACCCCTGCTCTAGGGTGGCTCTATTTCTAGCTAAAAATATCCACTCTTCAGAATCACTGCAGCTAAGTGGCCACATTCTCAGCTACACATACTCACTTTCCCAGAATCTCCTGCAGCAGAAGAGACACACACCAGCTAAAATTAGTCACCTTCCCAGAATCCCCTGAGGCTAGCAAAAACCATGACCTCAGACAAAAATATTCTGTTTCCCAGAATTCCTTGCAGCTAGCAATGTAAAGACATGCTTTCCCAGAATCCCTTGCAACAGTTGCCATCTTGCCTTGCCTGGCAGTGAGACATGAACAGGGTTTCTAGAAAGCTTTTCTGATGTGAGCACTGTGCGTGGTTGTATTTTTAGCTTTGTAAAGGAAGCCTCGTTTTTATAGTATGTCACCTAGCGTGACCTAATTTGAACCGCTTGTGGCCTGCAGTAACTTGCATGATGTAAAAGCACAAAGGAAATGTCTGGATGACCTCGTCCTAAGGCGAGAAGCATTTGGTGACGGATGACGCGCCTGTGCATCCCAGGCGGGACACCTGGAAGACACAGACACTATCACAAGCCCGGAGTGGACACTCAGAGCGCGCCAGCCAAGTGGGAGCTGGGTCAGCTGTGACAGAGCCCCTCCCAGGTTCAGGCTGCCGGCTCCTCTACATCTGTTTCCAAGAAACGTCAAAGTGTCAGTGAGCAGAGATGCCTGGTGACGGGGGCAGGGAGAAGCTGACCGTGCTGGGGTCCCAGGTCCCTTCCCTACTGTCCTGTCTACTCAGCTGCTTGGCCTGTCAAAGAAACCAATGCCTGAATTTGTAAGAGCTTAACTGAGTAGTCTGTGCAGTCTTCCTGCACACTGTCTCAGGGAGTGAGGTTTTGCTGCAACCTCAAGTAAAATGGAAACTCAGACTCCCTGCCCCTTCCTGCTTCCTCTCTCTTCCTGCTTGGAATAGGAACTTGACATCTGCTGGCACAGCAGCCATTTTACAACCACAAGGAAACTCTGAAAAAGGGAAGGAAAGCAAAGGAGCCAGATGTTCAGCAACGCCACTGAGCTGCTACACCAATTCATTGCCTGCTACAGGTTTTTTCATGAGGAAAGTAATCTTCAGTGGCCTTACACCACCTGTGGTTGAGTTTTCTGTTTGCTGCTGAATTTATCTGTAACTAAACCACAGGGAGACACAGCTGAGGCCAGAGCAGGGGGCTACGCTCTGGGAACAGGGTGCTGCCTCACTTTGGGCTTTTCCCTGCCCTGTTCCAAAATCTGCCATGGCTCCCTAGTGCCCTCCAACCCAGACTCGACCACCTCTAGCTGCATCCTCTATCTGCCTTATGCCCTGCACCAGGTACCTCTCCCCACCCGCCATCACCTGCCACGCCTAGACCTCTGCACATGGCTGTGCCTTGCCTGGGGAGCTGTGCTGCAGGCTCTCTCCCATCTGAACACAGCCTGGTGCCTCCTCCTCTGGGAGGGCTTCTCGGACCTCCGGGGGCAGGGCTCCCCCGTGTCTCACGTCCGTCTCTTTCACTGGACTGTGAGTTCCATGAGGACAGGGCCAGGGCTGTCTTGGTCCCTTCTGTGTCCCCAGCAATGTCCCAGAGGACCCTCAGAAACGTGTTGAAAGAAGCCTACTCCAGAGGGAGAGGCCATGGTCTTGCAGGTCTGCAGCCTTCCCCTTCCCAAAGCCTGGCTTCTCTGCATCAGGCCCCACCAGCTGGGGTCTCCCTGAAGGAAACCTGAAGCTGTGTAAAGCACAGAGCCCTGAGCTCTGTCCCTGGCCTCTGGACACCCTGTGGGACTCAGGCCAGTTCCTCCTCCAGCTGCGAGACTCTGTTTCCCCATCTGCCTGGCAGAGGGCCAGCCCCAGCGCCTCTCTGTGGACCCACATGCCGTTCTGTCTATGGCCACACGGGGGCGCTGCGGGTCCATGTGAGGCTTGAGGAGGGTGGGCAGGTGCAGGTGGGAGAGATGGGAGCCTGGTGACGGTCTCCATAGCAACGGGGAGCCCAGGCTCTGTCTGGGGGGGCCACACCATTTCCCCTGTCCCTACCACCCGGCTGCCTGATGCTCACCACCAGGAGAAAGCGCAGGCCGCCATGAGTCCCCTGGGCCCAAAGCCAAACCCTGACCAGCCAGCCTCTGCCACAACCTTCTCCACCTCTGTCTTGTTTGTGTCCCCCCCTGGGACTCTAGGGCCCTCTGTCTCACGCTTCCGTCTCCCGCCTTCTCTGGTTTCCGGTGAGCATCTGTGTCTGTCTCTCCTGTTTCTGTTCTGTCTCTCTGGACCCCTCTGATTTTCTCTCTGTCTGCCTCTCTGGGGCCAATTCCTGTCATGTCCCTCTGTCCCTGTCCCTCTCTCCATCCACTATTTCTCCCCTCCCCTCCATCTCTGCACCCCCTTCCTCCCTTCCTCTCCACTTACCTGCGCTCACTGTGACCGCCTCCAAAAACTGCTCCCTCCAGGAGTGGGTCCCAATCACCAAGGCCAGGTTTGTCTTCTTGATGAGTTTATCCACTGTGTTCTGGGGACGAGAGGGCGGGAGAGCCATCACTGCCCAGGAACACCGGGTGGCTCTGTGGGGGACAGAGGGACTGGCGACTCCCCCATGCTCCCAGTCCTGTCCTCCACAGCCCCCCACAGCCCGGTTGGACTAGCAAGTGGGGTGCTGTCCATGGTGCTGACACTGCCCTGGAGCACGGCTGTGGCTCCTCCCTCTCTGGACCTTCCCCAAGGAAGTGACCCAGGCCAGACTCCAGGAAGGTGAAGCCCCAGCAAGTCACCTTGAAGTCGTAGGACTCCTCGATGATGACCTCCAGCCGGCAGTTCTCCCCCAGCACTGGCTTGCCCATCTCTGCTATCCTCCGGGCCTCCTCCTCCTCGGCTGTCAGCTTCCTGTCCCCATCCCCTGCAGCATGAGGGACTGGGATAAGACTCCCAGGAGGCCTGCCTAAGTGGCCTTCGATGCTTTGACTACCTGTTCCCTTCAGTAGAGAAAAGCTCTCTGCTCTCTGGGAAACCTCTTTGGCGATCCCTCCCAGTTCCCTCCATGAATTCCCTTGGTGCTAAAACCCACGAGGTTCAGCTGTTAGGCTCTGGGGTTCATAGCATGGAGGCTGTGTGAGCTTGGGCAGTGCCTCAGCCTCTCTGTGCCTCAGTTTTCATATCTGTAAAATAGATATGAATACCTACCTGATAGGATGGTTGTGAGAATTAAGCGATTTAATTCATGTGTAGGGCTTGCACAGTGCCTGACGTGCAAAAGCTACTCAATAAGTGGCATTTTCTTTCCTATCATCACCAACATCGCCGTCATCACCACCCCTGGGGAGGCAGCCTGGTCTCTACAGCCAGGCTCTGAGGACACCCTAGAGAGTGTCTTATGTGGGAGGAAACAGGAAGATGCCTGATTTTGGTAAAATCTTGGGTCCAAACTCACCCTAAGCCCTGGGTCTGAGGCCCTTTACCACAAGCCCACACCAAGCCAATCCCAGCTCTGGTCCCCAACTGCAAGTCTGATTCTAACTGTGGTCCCACATGTGAGTCTTTTGTCACAACCCTGACTTTAAACCCCAACCCACAACCCCAGATCTGACCTCAACCCAACCCTCTCCCTAACCCCATCCCAACTCCAACATTGCCCGTCACCTGGCCCATTGGTACCCCCCAGCAAAATCCCAAATCCAACCCCTGACCTAACTCCAGCACCACACGTGACCCCAAACCACCAATAAAGAATGTGACCACGTGGCAGAGACAGTTCTCCACTGAGGAAAGAGCTGAACTACATTTCCCAGCCTTCCTTGCAGCTAGGTATAGTCATGTGACCCAGGGGCAGCCCATAGGATGAGGGCATAAGCAATGGACAGTTGGCCCTTGAAAACCTCCCAGTTAGGCCTCCAAACTCTCCTGCCCTGTCCTCCAGCAGGAAGCAGAGGGCCCCAGTGTGGCAAAGCCACAGGATGGAAGGAGACGGCCACCCGTCAACCAGGCACACTCACAAAACTGCCTGGGCAAGACACAGTGACGTGGGGTCGAGTTCTGGGATGAGCGTTCCCTTACAGAGGCTCCTGTTACCCACTCTGCCGTCTACCCACAGGCCCAACTCTGGTCCTCACTCCAAGGCGACTACTGCTATCTCCAGGCCACTGACCCTAGCCCTACTCTCAGCCCGTCTGTGACGCTGACCCGTGTCTAACCCCAACCCCTCAACCTTGAGGACTCACATGGGACTTGGGCTGCAGCTTGGTGTAAGTTGGACCCAGCTCTAATCTAATCCCAACACAGGCCCTGGAGGCCGCCTCTGGCTGGCCTCTCACCTTGACCCAGTTGGACACGGCTCTCAGGTCTCCACTCCACCTGGTCCTGGCCATCCCAAACCTGACTCCCCTACCCCAGCAGGGCCGGATCGGGTTCTATGCCTTCTGCCCAACATGACCACGAATACAAATCTGACCTCCACACCCCCGCCGCTAACCCCAGCTGAGGGGGGCCCAGTGTGTGGCCCCAGCCCTCACCCAGCCCCAGTCCAACCCCAGATCACCTGCAGCCGCCTCAGACCCCACCTTGGGTCCCCACCCCTCCCGCAGGCCCCCCAGCAGCCCCTCCCCGCTCAGGCCCGGGGCGCCCGACTCACCTTGGTTGAGTAGCAGAGCTGGGGAGAGACAGAGACAGGGAGACAGTGAGACCACGTCCCCGCGGAGCTTGGGTTCACAGCTGAAGGGCGCCCGCAGGTGAGCCCAAGGACCCCCCAGCCCTGGACCCTGCTTCTCCCACAGCCCGCGCGTCCCTCTCACCTGAAATCCCTCGCTTAAGCCACTGGGGCTGGCCCAGCTCGATGAAGAAGTTGTCCTTCTTCTCGTACTCTTCGTCGTCCACGATCTTCACCTGCAGGGTCTTCCTGGCAGCACGAGGCAGGACACCAGCGTCAAGCCCTCCCAGGCCCCGCAGCCTCCTCCCAGCCCCCGCAGCCTCCTCCCAGCTCCTGCATCCCAGGCCACCGCCTCCTTTAGCCCTCACGCGCCCAGGAGGGGACTTGCTGTTGTGCCCATTTGCTGGAGTCACACCCAGGCACCGAGGGGGAAGCCAAGCCAGACAATCTCAGACAATCCGAGTTGCCAAGGAAACCAACTTGAACTTTTCTCCCTCAAAACCTTGAGTCCCAGCCCCTCCCTGAGGCTTGGGTGGCCCTCTCCTCCACTGCTGCCCAGCCGCCATCGCTGCCCACCTGGACACTGCGCTCCCCTCCTACACAGCCTATGCCTTGGCGCCACCACCCACAGACCAAGTGCTCAACACAGCCACAGGGATCCCAGCAAAACCCTGGTCAGATGGGGTCCCTCCTCTGCTCAAATGTGTGCCTGGCCCCCGACTCACTCAGAATAAAACCAAAGTCTCGAATGTCCACTGGACTCCATGAGGCCGGCCGCCTCCTCTGGCTGTCCCACTCCACCTCCGCGTGGCAGGCCGCTCCTGGCCCGGCTCTGGCACCCCAGCCAGAACGCGATTCCCAGGTCACGCCCTCCTCCCTGCAGCGTTCTGCTCAGACTCCACCCTCTCCATGAAGCCCCCTCCCACCACCCTAGTGCTGACACCCCTCGCTGTCCCTGCCCAGGGCCCCGGGCCCTCACAGAGCTCTGCCCTAGTCTCCACGTCACTTCCTAACACACCCTGCGACACACTGATTTTGTTTGCTTGGCGTCTGTCTCCTTGCTTTAAAATGGAAGCTCCACCAGGTGACCTGCCTCGGTCTCTGCTGCACCCGGCACCTGCACGGGCACGTCCTCCGTGGACACCTGCTAACTCAGTCCCTCCGTGCAGACCAGCCTCAGCTTCCTGCTCCCTCCTGGCCACCCCCCGAGGGTCAGCCAAGGGCTACTCGATTGGCTCTGCCTCTGCTCCCATGGGAACCAGGTGAGGCTGGGGACAGCCAGACGTTACCGTTCCCTTCAGGGTACACAACTCACCTCTTCCCCCCATAATCACAAGGACCCACAATCCCAGAATTCCGCAGCTCGGCCATTACAACTCTCTCAGCTGTGGAACCTGTAGCCCCACAAGGCCTGGCCCAGCACCCAGCAACACAAACACCCAGCCCCCGCCGTCCCCAGAGAGGAAGCACAGCCAGTCACACCGCCCACGCCCCGCCAGCACCCCCTGCCATTCCCGATGTGTGGCGAGATCCACAGGCCAGCTGCCTGTTAGTTAGCAGGACACCCCCGCGGCCTGGTGACAGCGCCAACCTGAGGCCCCGCTGAGGTGCCACCAAGGCTCCCGAGGTCCCCTTCTCTGCCCCGTGTGTCTCTGCACTCTGGTCTCCACCCCCTTCCTGCTCCAATCCTGTCGGCTCCCCCCCCATCTTCCCTTCTCTTGTATCTGCTAGTGTGGGGTGCTGGGGATGAACCTGGGGGTACCCCACCACGGGGCTACTCCCCAGCCCTCTCTGAGATAGGCTCTTGTTATGTAACCCATGCTGGCCTTGAACCTGGGATCCTCCTTCCTCAGCGTCCCAAGTTGCTGGGGTTACAGTCACAGGGGACACATGCCGGGGTCCACCTTCCTGGTTTGGGGAGATTTAAATTTTCCTATGGATCAGAAGAAACTGGGACCTTGGGAGTGGGCCAGGTGCTGTCCGTGGTGCCGAAAAACAGATCTCCCAGGAAAACGTCCTCACTCTTGACAGGTTGTCACCCGTGACAATCACTGACATGGTGACGTGCTGACATGGTGGCACACACACATCTCCATCACGCACTCTTACAGACACACTGTGATCCACTGACACACAATGACTGACGCCCAGTGACATGCACATCAACTGGTGCTCTAGCAGGCATGTCATAAGGGGACCCAGAAGGAGGAGAAACCCAACTGTCAAAGGACAGCAAGAGAGACTCTAGCTAGGCAAGAGAAGGACTTCCTGAGATCTAAGGAGGCAGCCTTCCTCCCCACCCTGACCCCTTTGCTTCCCAGAAATCCCCGCCTCACTGGTCCCCCTCTCCTGTTGACTCCAGTGCTCTCTTTTCTCTAGAACATGGGCATCTCTCCTTCCCTGGATCGCAGTCTCCATGTTGTCTTTATCTCCCTGCATCTCTCTGTTTCCTCTGCCTCAGTGTCTGCCTGCCTCCCCACTCCCCAGCCTCTGCCACCGCTCAGTTTCCTTCTCCTTGGTCTCTGACTCTCCCTGGCATGCGGCATGCTGCCTCTGTCCTCCCTGTTTCCTCCTCAGGGTCTCCTCTGTCTGCCTCCGTCTCTTCCTGCCTCCTGCTCTGTTGATCCTGCCTGGGCCTCCTCTCCAGCCTGGCTGCTTCAAAGTGCTTCTAATTAGCGCCTGCCCATCACAGGAAGCATGTGTTTCCCTAAACGCTAATTAGCCTCCTGTTCTCTGTTTCTTGAAGCCACAGCTGGAAACTTGGGCGGGGGTGGGGGACACAGGGTGTCCCAGCCTGGGGAAGCCTGTGGGGGAGGAAAGGGCCCACAGAGGAGGAAAGCAGGTTAGACTTCAGGAAGGACCAGAACAGCAGAAACAACTCCCCCCATTTCCTTTCCCTCTGGGATGTGAGATGGGGCTGAAACGACGCTCCCAGAAACCCCCAACCCAAGTTCCCAGCAAGACAGAAAAGAGCCAGAGACAGCGAAGAGGTATGGAGAGTCTGTGTCGCAGACTGGGAACCAGATACTCCCGACAAAGCCAGGGATTAACTAAGACCCAGAGACCCAGAGAGGACGAGCGCTCCTGGGAAGCCCGAGATGCAGAGATGCAAAGGGAGAGATGAGAGACAAGCGCAGTCCGAGGCGGAGGCACGGAGGCCGGGAGGAGGAGGGAGAGGCGCGGTGGGGGCTCCGCGGGGCGGCAGGCGCGTGGGCGGCGTGCAGGAGGGAGACAGCCGGGCGTGCGGGGGCGGACGCGCGGGCAGAGGAGCGGGAGGTGCGGCTGCTCCCGGCAGGCGGGTGGGGGAGGTAAGGCTGCAGGACCTCAGGAGAGACTCGGGCCTCAATGTGAGGGGGCGCGGCCAGGGGGCACGACAAGGCAGCCGCTGCTCTCTAGCGTGCGTCTGTCTGTCTACGGGGCTCTGCATCAACGCGTGTCCTGCTTCCACCCGCGGCCCGTGCGTCTCTGCCCCCAGCCGCCTACCAGACCCAGCCCTCCAGGCCCCCAGCCTCCCCGGCCCTTCCTCCAGGGCCCCCACTCCTGCCCGTAGGCCTCTCACTTCCCCAGGTTCCTGCTCACGCCCACGACCCCCGCCTCCCCAGGCCCCTGCAGTCCCTTGGGGCCACCTTTTTCCGCAGCCCACAACTATTTCCTCTAGCCCCACGGGGACCTCACATCCTCTTCAGCCCCCCGCTCCGTCTCCAACGACAGCGACCCGGCTCCACAGGGCCCTGCCTTCATCCCCTGGATGGCCACACTGCGTCTCCTCCAGCTACCACCACCTTCGCCACACCCTCTCCTGCTCTCCAGTTTCTCCTCACCTGTCCACCCTTGTCACTCTACCACCCGTGGTCCCTGTTGTCGCTGGACCCTAGGCAGTTCTCTGGGCCAAATCCTGTCCTTCATCTCAGTCACGCCCCGCCCATCACGGCCCGAGACCCCACCTCATCTCCGCAGCCCCCCAGGCCTCACCCCTCCCGAGGTCCTGCCCAAGCCCAAGGTCCCCTCCTGCCCCCACAACCAGGCCCGCCCTTTCCCCAAGTCCATCTCCCAGGCCCCGCCCACCCAGGCCCCGCCCTGCCTCCACAGCCACGCCCTTCTCCCAGGCCCCGCCCTGCCTCCACAGCCACGCCCTTCTCCCAGGCCCCGCCCTGCCTCCAGCCACGTCCTTCTCCCAAGTCCATCTCCCAGGCCCCGCCCACCCAGGCCCATCCCTGCCTCCACAGCTACGCCCCTCTCCCAGACCCCGCCCTTCCCCCCGCCCCCACAGCCACGCCCTTCCCCCCAGCCAAATCCATTTCTCCCGCCATTTCCCCATCCACCCGCGCCTGGCCTGGGGTACCTGCCACGGACCAACGCACTCACATGGTCTCATCGTCGCCGAACTCAAGTTCGCCGCAGGCGTCCTCATAGTGCACGCCGCCGCCACGCGCCGTGCCGTCCACCGTGCGGTAGGGGAGGCGCACAGTGCCACGCGCGCCAGAGCTGCGCACGACGCGCACGTCCACGGTGCCCATGCACTCGCTCACGTGCAGCAGGCGGTCCTGGAAGGAGAAGATGCCCGCGTGGTCGTCGTCCAGGATGGTGACGGTGGCCAGCAACGGCGACACTAGTCGCCCCTTGGGCCGCCCCCCACCGTCAGGCTCGAACATGCCCTGCGCGTCGCCCACGCGCAGGTTCAGCAGTCGCACGAAGAAGTGTTCGTCCTCCTCGAAGATGTCGTCGTCGATGATGCCGATGCGCAGCTCCTTCTGCGTCTCGCCTGGCTTGAACACCAGCGTGCCCTCGCTGCGGCCGGGAAGGGCGAGAGGGAAGAGCTCGGTCAACAGCGTGTTGTAGGGGGTTTTGGGGTGGGCTTCCTGCAGGAGGGGCGGCGGAGCAGGGGAGCAAGACCGAGTGCGTCTCTCCCACCTGGAGGTCTTGAGGGACAGATCAGGGCAGGCTTCCGGGGTGACGACCTAACCCAGAAGGAGGTGTTCTGGGCAAGCTGCAGGCAACATGGGAAACCCCAGAGCTGAGGCAGGGGGTGCTCTCCAGCTGCTTCCTGAACCTCGGGGTGCTGCATGTGGATGCCCTGGTCTCCTAAACTGTAATTCTGGTTCAGGACCCCCTGAATCTCTCAGGAGCTTCAGGGGGTGTGGATGGTCTGGTACTGGGGCCACACTCTGAGAAGTAGGGATTTAGGGACCGTGGGACCGCCTTGTCACTCCTCTGACATAAACAAAACAAAATCTTATTGGGTTTCCACCTGTCCCCAAGAGAAAGTCTACATTCCTTAACTCAGCATCATCAATTTGTCCCACAGATACTCCCCAAGCTGCTGTGCCCTGTCCTGAGTGGCACCAGGGACACAGCCATGACCAGGTCCTGTCCTCACGGGGTTCCCAGCCCCACAGGAGAGTTGCACCGGAGCGACAAGTACATACTCAGTGGCAATTACACGCTTGTTCTTTTACTCACCACACACTAACTGAGCACCTGCTGTGTGCCAGGCCCTGGTCTCAGTGTGGGCAAGAGCAGCTAAAGCAGATCAGACACCCTGCCTGGCCCAGCTGCGTCAGGGCAGCCTGGAGAGTGAGGCCCCGGGGACAGGGTGCCGCTGAGCAGAGGGTGAGTAGCGGGAGGGGAGAGGGAGGTGTCCTGGGGGTGGGGAGCCTTCTGAGAAGCCCCTGTGAGCAGAGCTGGAGGCGGTGGGGGAGCTGTGGGGGATTCAGGGCAGGACTCCTGGGAAGGCGAGCAGGGGGCCGCGTGTCCCGAGGCGGGAGCTGAGCTGGGTTTCAGGAAACAGTGAGAGGGGCTGCAGCAGAGAGGGGACAGGACGGATTCGTGGGGCCTCGGTGAGGACGCCAGGTTTGAGTGAGGCAGAGCCATGGGAGTCTTCTGACTGGGGAGGCACGGGAGCTGGCCTGGGTTCTGGCCGTGGGCAGGCAGTGATAGCCCGAGGAGTGGGCTCCTCCTGGTGGAACTGCAGACATCGACCTGACTCTGAGATGGTATTGAACCTCAAAACCTGTCACTTCCCCGGAGTCCCTTCCAGCCTGCCACAAGGGGCTCCGTGTCACACTGGAAGGCGCTGTGAGCCTGGTGAGGGGTCTTGTTGCATCACCACCTTTGTGATAAAGGGCCTCTGGGCTCCAGTTCTTCAAGAGAAGCTCAGTTCTGTGGGAAGGACCAAGGGACCTCAAGGTCCTGGCAAAGAGACAGGGGTGCAGAAGCAGGTGGCAAGACCTGGGGTGGACGGACAAGGGGCTTCCTGCTGTGGAAGCAGCAGGCTTTGCTGTCCATGGTGGCTTCATGCTGGGTGGGCTGACCTGCTGCCAGCCGCCCGCTGTATGATGGTCACAGTCACTGATCTGCAGTCCTCGGCCTCAGTTTTTTCATCTATAAAATGGAGCTAATCACAGTGTCTACTTGCTGGCATTGTGCTGAGGACAGAGTTAACCTCAGGGAGGCCCTTGCAGGCCCCGTGGAAGCACTCGCAGAAGTTAGCAAGTGACAGATGCATATTAATTAATGCTTGAATCTTAGGACTCTAAATCCCCAGAATGTTAGAAATTCAAATAGCAGAATGTGGCGAATTTAGCATCAGCTTTGCCAAACAGTTAAACTGGAGAACCCCAGTGAAGGACAAGCAGGTGACATGTGCCTCCTGAGACAGTGTACCGGGGAGGACACGGCACCCTTCCATGCACTTCCGCCAGAGGTGCCCAGCTGAGTCTAACCGTGAGCAGACATGGGACAGACTCAACCAAGGGCTGTTCTAGCAACTGCCAATCATCTTCAAAAGAGCCAGGGACACAAAAGTCACAGAAGCCCATCCAGGCTGGAGGAGACCAACCAGACGTGACGGCCGAATGCCACGGTGGTTATGGATGGAGTGGGAAGACAGAAGAACACAGCCATGGGATGGCATGGGGACACTGGTAAACGCAGTCACAGGCTGGAGGCTGGACCACATCCATTCAGCAGTTAAGTTTCCCGAGTGCGATCATCAGGAAGCGCTCACACAGGAGAACGTGTCCGTTCTTCATCTCTCTCAGCGCTGGGGATCGAGCCCAGGCCAGCGCTCTACCAGCAGCCACACCTCCTGGCCTGCCTTATTCTGAGGCTGTAGGATTCAGGGGAAAAGGGTCTGCAGCTCACTCTCGTAGAGTGCCACATCCTTATTTCAAGGCTGGCGTGGTGGTGCACACCTGTGATCCCCGTGAGCCAGGAGGCTGCAGCAGAAAGATCATGAGTTCAAGGCCAGCCTCAGCCACTTAGTGAGGCCCTAAGCAATTTTAGTGAGACCCTGTCTCAAATAAAAATAAAAAGGGCTGGGGATGTGGCTCAGCAGTAAAAAAGAAGAAAAATAACACAGAACCACCCACCACTGGTCACAGAATCCAAGGCGGCAAAAACCCCAGAGCTGTCAAACCAGACAGTTGGGGTGTGGTTTAGAATGCCAAAATGTTAGAATCCTAGAATCTCAGAACTTTGGACATTTAGTGTATTAGGATTATAGAGCCTTAAATCTGTTAGAATAGTCATGTTATTTGGGGGTTTCAGAGATCAGGTTTCATTTGAAGAAACTGAGGCCCATAGGGCCACCCTTTCCCCATGTGGTACCTGGGTGAAAATTAGAAAAAGGCTCTCTTTTTGATGACCCTTATTTCCATGACTTAGGAAATTGTTCAAGTAGACATACACATCTACAATGTCCACTATGAATAGAGCATCCTCAGATATAGTGACCTTGCACAGTGTACAACCTCAACAACTGAATTCAGTAGCCCTATTTCCCCAAACAGAGGCAGAGCTTTGCCCAAGGAACTTAACTCTGTGCAGTGCTGGAGATGGAACCCAGGCCTCAAGCACTCTACAGGTACTCTGTCACTGAGCCACATCCTCAACCCTTTGCTCTCTTCCAACATGTTGGAGGTAAAGTCCTTTGCAGGTGAGAAAGTGGCCTCTGCTTCCTGCAGGGAACACCTGGACTCACTTCCTTCCACCAAGACTCAGGCTTTACCTGGGGGCAGTGCAGACCCGGGTGTGGACAGCAGTGGAAGAGTGGAGGGGGAGACCAAAGCAAGTCCCATCGCAGTGAATGCAGCTTCCCCAACTGGGGGATAGTGGGGAGGCTGGAGGAGGAGGTCACAGGTGGCAAAGGGATTCCCTGCCACGGATGTTGGAACAAAGGCCCGTGAGGAGTTGGCATGCTCAGGCAGGGGCGGGGGAGGGAAGTGGGTGGATGTGGGACGCTGGCTGGCTGAGCAGAGGGCAAGACCTACAAGTGTCCATAGTGCCGTGAAGGTGGGAAGTGATAGCCAGAGGGGACTGGGTGGCTGAAGGTCCTGCCGAGGCCCAGTGTTGGACCTAGAAACCTGTCAAGAAGAGAACCCAGCATCGGGGAGAGGAGGGCGGAGGGGCTGGGAGTGCAGCCCAGGGAGGCCCCCGCACCGTGACGGACAGGTGCAGCCCCTGTGGGAAGCCCCGCGCCAGCCCCTGTGTGCCCTGCCGACTGGCACGGCTCTTTCCGCTCCTGGCACTTTTACGTCAGCAGTGCTGGCCTCCCAGGGTCTCCCAGGAGCATCCGGGCTCCACCTGGACGGGGTGTCCTAGGTTTTTTCACTGTGATGGTCACCACCAGTGGCAGAGTAGACACATGGCAAAGGCTCGACCTGGACCAACAAAGGTCTTTGCGAAGCCCTGAGTCTCGAGGGCGCGGCCGCAGGAGAACCAGACACAGGAAGGATCTGCCTCTGCGAGTGAGCTGGGACCTCGGTGTCGTCGTTTATTGTCTGATGTGGGGTCCCCACAAATGCACCAAGCACACAGCAGGTGCTCAGCAGGAACTCTTGGATGAGGGGCTCTCCCAGGCCCACAGGAAGAGGGCTAAGGAGAGGGACCGAGGCAGTGACTGTGGAGACCAAGGATGGGATGTGCCAGCCGTCTCCCTCTGCTCCCCCTAGTCACCGTGCAGCGCGACATTTACTACATGGCACCTTCTGACGTGTGGGGTCACGGACGTCATTTTTGCAACTGGAGTGCAAGGACCCTGCCGCCCTGTTCACGGTGGTGTGCTCACTGGTACACAGTAGGTGCTCAGTGAGCACCTGCATTCAGGCAGGTGCCGTGGGCTGCTCGCTCTACCTGTGCTAGAGCCACAGGGTTAAAATGGAGCCGCGTGAACACCATACCAGACAGCTGCAGAATAGGGGCAGTGCGAAGCCCGAGCCTGTCCCTCCAAGCTACCATGTGAGCTGAAATCCTGGGGCGGTGCCTGGCACATGGCAAGTGCCCACTAAAAGGTAATCCTGTCACGACTGTGGGGACAGCCGCGCATCAGGCTGTGATAAGACTGAAGGCTGTGGATGAGTTATGACCATGGGAGGGGGGGCTGGGGTGAGAGATTCCCCACCACGTTCAGGCACCATGACAGGTGCACCGAGGATTGCCTCTGTCGCAGACCAGCTGAGGGTCACTGTACATGACGGGGCTGGGGACTAGATCAGCCAAGTCGTGAAACAGACACCAAAGCCACAACAGCTGAAACTGCACAGTTCTGACACTCCAGTGAAGCAGTGAACGACACAGGGGACCCGTGAGAGGACAAGGCTCTGTCTTCCAATCAGGCATGCGATGGCTGCTCCGCGTGTGCACAGGCACTTACCCTCCTAGATACAAGACAGACAGTGAAACTACAGAAATTCAAACAGCTGGGCCCCCACACAGGAGGTGCAGGTGGCGGGAGCCTTGCCCTGTGCACTGTTCTGTATAAATGCCTGGAACAGGTCTGGCACACAGTAGGCTCCCTATAAATGTGACTTATTACTAGAATACGGGAGGAGGTCTCCCCATAGGAGACGGAGCAGGTGACAGAGCTGCCATGGTTCAAAGGTCAAGGCCTACAGCAAGAGCCTCGCACAACTCTTGTGTGTTGGAGTGGCAGCCGGGCATGGCCGCCGTCGGCTGGGGCATGCCTTCAGCATGGCATCCAGAACAACGGCTGGCACAGGGGGACACCCCACTCGAAAATCAGTTACTCCAAGCATCAGGGAGGGTTGGTTCCTCTGAGTGACAGAACATTCATCACCACTGTAACAAGGAGCACAGCAGGTATCAGGCCCAGAGCCCACAGGTGGACAAGGAACAGCAGAGGGGCAGTCTGCCCACAGCCAGTTGTGTGGCCCAGAGCTGTGTGCCACACGCCTGGCCCAGTGTCTGACACAATGAATGTTCTCGAGGACCAGTGGGTGAGAGCCAGACCCCATGGCACACGCCTGTAACCCCAGCAACTTGGGAGGTTGAGACAGGACTGCAAGTCCCAGGCCAGCCTGGGCAACCTGGGGACTGTCCCAAAATTAAGAAAAAAAAAAGAGAGAGAGAAAATTAGCCAGGCGCGGTGGCGCATGCCTGCACTCCCAGCAGCTCAGGAGTCTCAGACAGGAGGATTGCAAAGCCAGCCTCAGAACCTTAGCAAGACCCTGAGCAACATAGCAAGACCCAGTCTCTAAAAAATAAAGGATGTGGCTCAGTGGTTATGTGCCCCTGGGTTCAGTCCCTGGTACCAAAAAAATAATTTAAAAAAATGAACCAACACCACAGGTCACCCGTAGCAAGGGATGGGTCCTGAGGCCAGAGCCGCAGGCTGCAGCTGGGGCAGAGATGGCCCTGTGGACAGCCGCCTGCGCAGCAGCAGGGGGTGGCGGCCTGGCCAGGGACCCACCTGTACTCGTCCGGGGACCTACCTGTACTCGTAGTCGGAGCCCGCCTTGGCCGAGCCGTCCTCCGTGCGGTAGTCCACGTAGAAGGTGCTGTTGCCCTCGCCGCCCTGGCAGGTGACCGACAGCAGCACGGAGCCGCAGTTCTCCAGGCAGTGGTACAGGCTGGGCTCGAAGAAGATGCGGCTGGCGCCGTCGTCCTCATCCTCTCCAGGGCCATCAGCGGGGGTGGCTCTGCGCGAGGCGTCGGCTGCGTGTCGCCGTAGCACGTTGCCCGCGCCGGTCATCAGCCGCGTGGCCTGGATGCGGTAGAAGGCGCGGCTCTTCTGCTGGTGCAGTAGCGCGTAGTAGTTGGCGATGCCCACCAGCTGCTCCAGGTCCTTGTCCGGGTGCTTCTGCTTGAGATCCTTGAGGATCTGGATGACCTCGCGGCGGCTGGCGTCCAGCTCGCGTGCCTCGGCAGGGCCCGGGCCCAGGCCGCCCAGCTCGCCTGGTGCCTCGCTGCCCACAAACGTGCCGTCCAGCTCGATGCTCTTGGGTGGGTCGCCCTCAGCGCCAATGATGATGCCGCTGCGCGGGTCGGTGCGGTAGCGCTTGTAAACGTACTTGTAGAACAGCAGCCGCTTGTCGGCCATCCAGGCGAACACCACACACACCGGGAAGAAGATCAGGGTCAGCAGTGCCTCCCACACCTGCGGGCAGCTGGGTATCAGGACGCGCCACCTCCGCGCCGGCAGGGGGACGCACTGCGCGGGAGCCCGTGAGTCTCCAAGCTGCAGCTCCCTGTGCGCCCCACCTCCCCGCGCCTCCCCTCCTATCCACCCAGCCACCCATCCATCCACCCATCCACCACCCACCCAGCCACGCAGCCAATCATCCATCTACCCACTCAGCCATCCATCCACCCATCCATCCACCTACCTACTCATCTACCCACCATCCACCCACCATCCATCCACCCATCTACCCACTATCCATCCATCCACCATCCATCTACCCACCCATCCATCAATCCACCCACCCATCCACCCACCCACCGACCTACTCATCCACCCACCATCCACCCACCATCCATCCATCCATCCACCCATCCACCATCCATCCAACATCCATCCATCCACCCATCCACCATCCATCCATCTATTCACCCACCCATCTACCCATCCACCCACCCATCCACCATCCATCCACCCACCCACTATCCATCCATCCACCATCCATCTACCCACCCATTCATCAATCCATCCACCCATCCACCATCCATCCATCCACTCACCCACCCATTCATCAATCCATCCACCCATCCACCATCCATCCATCCACTAACCCACCCATCTACCCATCCATCCACCATCCATCCACTCACTCACCCATCCAACCTACCCACCCATCCACCCACCCACCTACTCTTCCACCCACCATCCACCCACCATCCATCCATCCACCACCCATCCACCATCCATCCATTTACTCACCCACCCATCTACCCATCTACCCATCCATCCACCATCCATCCACTCACCCATCCAACCTACCCACCCATCCACCCACACATCTACCCACCAACCCACCCTTCTATTCACCCATCCACCCACCCATCCATCCATCCCCTTTTACCCACTGGTGATCATGCCTGGCTGCTCAGGTGCCAGAAACCCACACATTCTCAGCCACCACCAAGAGACACACATCCCCACCCTGTGGTTGGTTCCAGCCCCTGTGAAGGCGCAGAGCAGTCTCCTCCTGTCCCTCTCACCCTCCACCAGGTCTGGCTCCACTGCTCCAGACCCTGCCCACCCTTGGGGCCTGCTCCCTGCTCAGCGCGTTCCCTCCGGGCCTGCTCCACCAGCAACTCGCCCTTGCAGGCCTCCTCCTGGGGAGCTCGCAGGCCTCCTCCTGGGGAGCTCGCAGCCCTCAGGGCAGGACTCTGACTCCAGGAGACGCCCACGGCTGGACCACCATCCCGAAGCTGCCTCAGATGAGTTTCCAGTACAGACAAGGACGACCCGAGCTGAGAGCTGGGATCTAAGGAGGAGGGTGGCCCAGCCTCTCTGTCAGTAAAATGGGGACATTCCAAGATGGAATGAATACATGCATGAGCAGCACTCAGCACGACCAGTTCCCAGCACGTGGAGACGCTCAGGAAGGGCAGTCACACTGTCACCATCGCCTCTAGTCTGGTTATCTCGGGCCCAGCTGGCCACAGCCCGGGCACATTCCGAAAACACCAGCCAGGGCTTGCCAGTTTGCCCCGTGTGGTGGCACATGTCTGTAATCCCAGGGACTCGGGAGGCTGAAGCAGGAGGATCACAGGTTTGAGACCAGCCTTGGCAATTTAGCAAGGTTCTAAGCAACTTAGCAACAGCCTGTCTCAAAATAAAAAATAAAAAAGGCTTGGGGGTAGCTCAGTGGTAGAGCACTTGCCTAGCATGATGAGGCCTGGGTTGCTACCCAGCACGGAGGTCTGTAATCAAGGTTACGCAGGAGGCTGAGGTAGGAGGATCACAGACTGCAATTTAGAAGGATCCTGTCTCAAAAAATAATTTAAAAGAAGTAGCTTGGTGGTAAAGTGCCTCATTTTTAATTAATTAAAAATTAAATTAAAAAATGCCCAACTCAAATGCTGCCTTTCTTATTGAAGATAAAGGAAAGATGGAGGGTGGATCCCATCCGAGGGCCCAGAGGCCCTTACAAATGAGCCTGGCAGGGGACCTCTCTGAAGATCCAGGGCCCCACCCCATTCTGACTGTTTACCGAGGGCTAGAGGAAGGGTAAGGCTTGAAGGAACAGAAGCCTGCCGGCTCTGTGCACAGAAACCGCAGGACCCTCTCCCCGCAGCCCAACTGAGCCACTTGCAGCTGCGGAGTCTGTTTTCCCGGGAAGGAAGCCCCGCCTCCAGGGCCCGCCCCGCAGGTGAGTGACTGACAGGTGATTCTAAGGGGTTCACTGGAGTTTCTGGGTCCTCGTGCTGCCTGAAGCGCATCCCACAAAGCATTTTTACACCGCTAGCTTTAGATCCTTCCTGGAAGAAACTATTAACTGGCGAAGTGTGACAGGCGGGAACAATCACCCACAAGTGTGAAGGAAGCCTAGGCCACCGCGGATAAATTATGCATGTGCGTGAGCGAATCAGGACAGGCCATAAATAAATTATGCAAATGGAGTGGCAGCCAGGGAGCTGTGGGAGGTGCGTTAAGCAAATGTTGTCAGGGAGGCTGGGGGGGGGGCAGGTTACGACACAAATGTGAGGCAAATGGCCACGGAACGCAGGTGTCCGTTATGCAGCCGAGGCTGAACCGGTCATAGTAGGAAGGAATCATGCCAAGGGGCGCCGGGCTTGTATCTAGGGTGCACTGGACGGGTACACCCGACACTGAAGCCGCATAAATTATCTCGACATCAGAAACCAATTATGAATAATGAATGGATTATGCAAACGAGGGCTGCACGGCGCTGGGCCAGCAGATGAGGCCGGCCTCCGCGCAGGCCCCGGGTACATCCTGTAAATCCCGGCAAGTCACCCAAACCAATTAGCGCTGTCAGAAAACAAGGGGCTGGCGACGCAACCAAGTGCGGCATGAATTATGCAAACGTAGGACGTCTTATTGCAGCGGCAGGAATAAATTACGCCACCAGTAGCGAGTCAGGGTGAAGTGGCGGACAGAGCTGGGCGCATCACACAGACCACAGGGGCTGTCGCACACAGCACCCTCGTGAAGACTAAAAGGAACCCTCTGGTGGGTGCAGTGCTCCCATTTCGGTGCCGGTGCCTCTGCAGGCTCCAGCCCGGTCTCTCCTCTTTGGCTTGAGCTCCTTGTGCAGTGTATGTACTGAGTATGCACAACTGTACCCGGCGCCCGCTCCGCGGCGAGCACGCACTTTTTCAAATGTACAAGTCAACCCGCCAGGCCAAGAGTCACCCCTCGGGCTCTGCCCCACACGAGCACCAGGGGGTGTCCTTGCTTACCTGGACCACACCCGGGGAAAAGACGGCGAGGATGAGGTAGAGCCAGACGTAGGCGAAGATGCTCCAGGAGGCGGTGACGAAGAAGACCCGCAGGTGCTTGATCCTGCGGCTCTCCCCGGCCGGGATGACGTAGACGCACACGGCGATGACCACGAACATGTTGAAGGCTGCGCTGCCCACGATGGTGCCAGGGCCCAGCTCGCCGGCCTGGAAGTTGTGGCCACAGACCTCGATGACGGACAGCAGGATCTCGGGCGCCGAGGAGCCCAGGGCCATGAGCGTCAGGTTGGACACCGTCTCATTCCAGATGCGCACGGTGCCCACGCTGGTCTCCCCGTTGGCCTTGGTGATGGTGATCTCCTTCTCCTTGGATGTGATGACCTCGATGGACGCCATGAAGCGGTCAGCGATGATGGACACGCCCAGGAACATGTAGACCATGGCCACGAAGTAGACCACCGCCCGCGCCGCCTTGTCGCCCAGCGAGGGGTCGTCTGGCTCCCACACGGGCAGCAGCACCCCCGGCTGGCAGCGGTTGGAGCCCTGGCAGCCCCCGGGGCTGGGGTCGCTGTCATTGGCCGGGGGAGGCGGCAGGGAGGGGGTCGGGGTGGCCGCCCCTGAGCATGGGGGAGCCCCCAGGAGGAGCGCGACCCCCACCAAGGCCAGGGGAGCCATGGGGGGCGTCGGAGCCCTAGGGAGGAGGAGTCTGGTGAGGGGAGCAGCCCCTCCTGTCATGGCACAGCCAAAGCCCACGGGGTCACCCAGGGAGCTGAGGACGACATGGGGGCCAAAGGAGACACGGCGGACACAGAGACCCAAGGGGGAGGCACGGAAGACCCCTGAGCGAGCGTGGGCAGGAAGCTGGCCTGAGCCCTGGGGACTGCACCATGCACCCTGAGCCTCAGTGACTCCGTTCCTGGGAACCTACCCAAGAGAGAGAGGCCCATGTGTCCACCAAGAGGCACCTGCGGGAGTCTTCATGGCAGCTCGTCTACAGCAGCACAGTCCTGAAACAGCCCAGGCGCCAGTCAGCAGCCAACAGAAGCCCCGCGAGAAGGCCCGTGGAATAGTATACAGCACCAGAAAGGAGGGGACGTGGGTGGGCGCGACAACACGAAGCCCTTGAGGAAGCGACAGATGGCGGGAGCCGGGCATGGAAGAAGGCCTGTGGGCCTGTTGGTCTCAGGTGGGGCTGGGCAGGGGCTGCGGAGCCTCCCTCACCCCCACCCTGCGACACGGTCCCTGGGTGTCGGTGCTGCGCCTCTCCCCAGGCTCTGTAGGCCGCCCAGCTCCTCAGCAGCGGAGGCACCGGGACCTGAGCTGGTTTGTGCCATTCGTGGGCACGGGGTCCTTCTGCCCGCCTCCCTGGCCTGGTCTGGGCTTTGGGAAGCCATTTCTGCGTCATGTGCGGGTCTCCTAGAGACACCTGTTAGATCAGGTCCTCTGCTCAGAACCCTCCGGGGCTTCCTCTGGCCTCTCAGGTCCCGCACGTCCTGCCTCCCCTGGCCTCGCCCCCTTGCCCAGAGTGCACCAGCCACACTGCCCCTCCCCACTGTTCCTGGGACACACCAGACCAGTCTGCTCCCCAGGGCCTTTGCACCTGCTCTCCCCTTTCCCAGGACACTCTTCTCCACACATCACGAACCTTGCACCCTCTTCCTTCAGGTATCCACTCTGACGTCACCTTACCTGGACACTTAATCCAGAATGACACCACCCCCTTGGGGGAGTCCCCATCCATTTCACAGATGAGAAGCTCAAGGCTCAGAGGTTAAATAACCTGCCCAAAGTCACCCAGCACCAACTCTGTGGCTCCCAGGCTCTCTCCAAGAGGGGCTCAGAGTCTGAGCGCCTCTGCCCCACCCTCACGTTGCCATGGTAACCCAGTGCCTATAAATGGAGGAGAGAGGGAGAGAGGGAGGGAGGGAGGTGTCATCTGAGCCTCCACCCTCTCAGACCCCTCTCTCTGCCATCAGCCTTAAGTCTCCCAGTAACTTCCAATTCTGTCTAAAAAGTTCCTCTGGGAGTCTAACCCACAGCCTGCCCCCAACTCACACCCACATACCATGGGCTGGGAGCTGGCTCCTCTGGGGGAGGGAGGCAGAATGTTGGCAGAACTTCTCCAAAAGGGGGGGGTTTAGGCAGGGGCGGGGAGAGGGGTGATCCTTAAAGGGCCACGGAACAATTAGTCCCCTCAACAAGGCCCCTAATGATACATCTAATTAGCAGCCCCCTAATTAGCAACGACTTAGGCATAATTACAGGCCCACCAGGATCCAGAGCAAACACTTAAGCTTGTTCCTTCCTCCCTCCACTTTGCCTTCCAGGAGAAACGGGCCACCTGAGAGTGAGAATCCTTCAACACATTAACTCCCTTTCTCTGGGAGGGAGCTGCGGCCTGGGAAGTCTTCCCCCAAGTCTAACCACCGGTCTCTGCTGCTGCAGCCCTCAAGGGAGACCAGGTTCAGAGCAGGATGCCAGGATGCGTGCTCAAGCCCCCTCCTTGCAGGGCTGGCAAGGCAGCCTCCCCAAGGCTTTCCTGCTACCCAGTTCCCTCTCACTGGGGCCTGGAGAGGAGGCTGGAAGAGAAAGCACTAGATAAATATTTGTGAAATGATGACCCAGAGCCTGCCGCCCCTGCAGCTCGGGCTCCCCGCCTCCTCCAGCAGCGGCCCTGGAACCTGATCTGCTGTGTCGGGTGCAGGGGCAACAGGATCGCCTGAGCCGCGAGGGGGTGGGGCAGATAGCAGGCACCTTCTCTGGGGCCCAGGGAGGTGGCAGCATCTCCCGGTCACCTCTTACTGGCCTCGGCCTCCTGGGCCTGTGGCCAGCTGGGTCAGTGGTGAGCGCCCCAGTTCCTGGTCATCCACCTGGAGGGGTGCTGGGTGAGTGCAGGCCTAGGGGCACGTGGGCCTGGTGACCGGTGGGACCTCTGGGGTCCCTCACCTGCTCAGAGAGTGGGCGGGGCCAGGCAGGGTTCCTCCAGCTGGCCCTGGGAGGACGATGTGGTTTTGGGGTGCGGATTCTACCTGAGCTCCTCAGTGCCCCCAGGGCCCAGGCTCTCCTGCACACCGCATCCCAGCTGGGGACCACACACACCAACTCCATACACCAAGGGCTCGGCCAAGCCGGGGGCAGAGCATAGATGGAGAGTCCTAGCCCGGTGATCTCCCAAGCCATCTGGAGTCCCCACATGGCACTGTCACGCTGGGCGGGGACTTCACTTGCAGCCAGGAAGGAGGTGGACACACGGGCACATATGGTCCCATGCCAGCTCCAGCCATGGGCTCAAACTTCCCCCTGGTCACCTACTCTCTCTCGCCCACCTTCAGGAAGAGGATGTCCGGCGCCTCTGGACTCAGAAGGGTCCTCTCAAAGTCCCCAGGAGGTGTCTGGAAAGCCCTTGCAATCCAGCTTACTGACAAGTCTGAGACAGGCATGCCACAAGAGGGATGGAAGTGAGACTATAGGAAGGACTGGCATGACCTGAGCCAACACGAAGTGCTATGCCTGGAATAAGAAAGTCACTCAGCAGTTGGCAAAAGAATGAATAAGTCCAGAGCTGGACAAACAGCAAGAGGCATGGAAGTTAGACTGGAAGGTCTGGTCCAGTTTATTCGAAGAGGAAAGGAAAGGTTAGAAAAAGAAAGAACTACTCCGTGCAATCTCTACTACAAAGGTTTCAGGTTAGACTGCAGGAAGGACCAGCCTCTGAGTGCCAGCAACAAGGCAGGGGAGGGGCTCTGCTTGGGGAGAGATGGGGCGGATGCCGCTGGGAGGATGGGAGGGAACTCCGCTGGAGAGGGGCGCGGAGTTTGGGGGGCTCCAGGCCTGCTGGGGGCCACTCTGCGGGGGACCGTCTTCCCCCAGGTCCCCTGCCAGGGGCGGAGGCAAAGGTGTGTAGGAGGAGTAACCGGCTCCCAGGGCGAAAAGGAACAGAGACAGGGAGACAGGGAGACAGAGCGGTAGGCAGGCGGGAGACAGATGACGAACAGACCGACAGACAGACGGACAGAGCCCGGGACCGCCGGACCCGAGAGGCGGAGGCAGAGATGGCGCAAGAGGTGGCGGCGAACCCGAGGACTTGAAGTCGTCGCGGGGAGCCCGCGGACCCGCCGGGGGACGGAGTGCGCGGCAGACGGGGACGCCGGGAGAGGCGCGGGGACCCCGGGGGCGCGCCAGGCACGGGAAGGCGGCGACTGCGGCCGGGGTCTCCCGGGCCCCTGCCCACCCCGGTCCCCGCCAGACGCGCAGCCCGGCCCCGGGAGCCCAGGGAGCTCCCCCGCGTCCCCACCGCGCACCTGGGGGCCGCGTCTCCTCCCACGCCCCGCGCTCGGTCGCTTACCTGCGCCCACGGCCTGGGCAGGTGCCCCCAGCTGGGCTGGCCGCGGTGGGCGACTCCGCCAGCGGGAGAGGAGCGAGAGGCGCCGCGACTGGCGAGGGACCGAGCAGGCAGCAGGGGAGGGGGCGGGGGCCGGAGGGAGGAGCCGGCGAGGGCGGGGCGGGGCCGGACGGGGGGTGGGGGGAGAGGCCGGGAGCGGAGGCAGCCCGAGCCTCCGACCCAGACTCCGGGTTCAGCACCAGAGGCCAGGGACAGCAGCGGAGGGCGCTGTCTGCGGGTCTGAGAAGCGCCCCGACCTCTCCAGCGCGCGCAGTCTCCGGCCCATACATGGGCCCAGATGCAAAGCAGCTACAAATAGTCACGGGCCTCGAGGGGGGGCAAGAATGTTGGGCCAGTCGGTCTAAATTTGCACAGGGCGCCTGCGCAGTAACCCCAACAAAGAAGGCCGGAAACAACCACAAAGGCACCCATTAATAATAATAACAGGGCGGCCATTCACACAGCCCTACCACGTGCCAGGCACTGCGAGGACATGTTTATGAGGCCTGCCACTCGTCCACACTGCCGCCGCCGCTGAGTCTGGAGCAGATGCTACCATCGACTCCATCTCCCAGGCTGGGAAACTGAGGCGGGGGCGGTGAAACGCAGCTCTGGGCTCCGTGTCCTCAAGCCACGCGCTGCACCGCTGCAGGCTGAGGCTGGGGCAAGAGGTCAAGAAACTATTTGTTTAAAAAATGAAAAGAAGTCCGGAAGCCAACCACCAAGGCCCAGGAGGTGGCCCTGGCTCCTGGGACGTGAGTGCTCGGGCCCTGGAGTGGACACACAGGCACACGCCCTGCCGCACGTGCACAGACCCAGCCACCACTGCTCACGGCTGCCTCTCCCCACGGCCCTCTCCGCACCTCCCAGAGCAGGAGGTGATGGCCATGCACCAGGCCCCGGTGCTGGGCCTCTGCAGGTGGCAGCGGGGGAGGAAGCCGCTCAAGCCAGTGCCCGTGCCCACTGCCTGTCCTGGTGAGCCAGCCTTGGGCCTTCTGCCAGGAGGAGAGGATCCAGCTCCCTGCAACTCCCCACGCTGGGCCTGGCTTCTGGGAGACCCGGCGGGGGATGGAGTTTGCCGGGATGAAGGCAGGGAGGCTCCTATCTCCCACACTGTAGAGACTGGAGGCTGGGCCTGGTCCCGGCTGGTGGTCAGATTTATGGGAGGATTTCCATGGCCAGAGGCAGAGACAGATGGTCTACATGACCATGATGCTGCACCCCCACCACACACAGGAGCAGGCATCCCACCCAAGCCCAAGTCCCAGTCTGGAGCCTGCTCAGGAACCATGCCCCCCCCACCCTGCTGACCCGGATTCTATTCCTGGCCTGTGGTGGGGGAGGGCAGGCCTGCTTCCTCACTCATCTCCTGCCTTCTGCCTTCCATGGTCCCTGGGAGGCAGACTGGTTCCTTCTCCTGGGTGCCTGTGTGCAGCTCCAAGTCCTGGGCTTCTCATACTAGGTCTGACCTCAGCCTCTACAGTCCGGTGCACCCTGGGTTCTGTCTGGTTTTCACCTCAGTATTCTCCACTGGGATCTAAACTCTATTACTGCCAGCCACAGGGATGCACACCTGCAAAACCAAAGGCTGGGGAGGCTGGGGCAGGAGGACTCAGTTTGAGTCCAGCCTCAGAAACTCAGCAAAACCATGTCTCAAAATAAAAAATAAAAAGGGCTGGGATGTAGCTCAGTGGTAGTGCCGCAAACAAAACGAAAACCAAACCGCAGTTTTGTTCTGCTGGGCCCTAACCCAGGCCCTTTGCACATTTTTTTGAGGGGTCCAACCCCAGTATGATTCACAGGGGCCTAGTCTCACACCCTCTGCGGCAACTTGACGACGTTCTCCCACAAGAATTCCTCCCACCACAGTCTTTCCATGGAGTCTCAACCCAGATCTAGACCCTACCACTGGAGTCCTCAGTCATCCTGAGAGCTAAACTGTTCAACCTCAGACCAGTCCACGAGGGCAAACCTCCACCACTTGCCGGGTCTAACCTCAGACCCTTCATCTTACCCAGCGTTCCACAGTGGCTTGGTTCCCACTTTCTTGCTGGGGTCTAACCTTAGTTTTCTCCTTTATGGTCTACACTGGGACCTAATCTCTGTCCCGTTTCTGGGTCTAACCTTGGATTCTCTTGTCCTTAAAACCTCCTCCCTTGATTTTTCTAGGTGACTTCAGCATCCACAGAACCTGGCATACAGTAGGTGCTTTAAAAATGCTTGCCATACAAAAGAATGAAGTCAACTGTGAAAGCTTTGTTTCTCTGGACACATGACCAGTGCTCAGTGCAGTGGAGATGGCGGGTGGGATCGCCCGTTTCCCGCTGGGGATGCTGAGGCACAGAGAGAGGGGCTAGCCTGGGTCACAGGGCTCGTGGGGCAAAGTTAGAGCAGAGACTCAGGGCTGTCCCACCCGGGGACCTGGGGAGACCACACTCTTCTTGGGACACCTCCTCAAATCAACGGCTGGAGATGTGTCTCATGAACTGCTCCAGGTGTAAGAAGAATGAACCGACAGGTAGGTGCTCAGGAGGCCGGGGGCTCTGCAGGCCCTGGGCCCGACCTGTCCCCAAGCCCCCGTGGCCGCTGTCTCCTCTGTTCTACTTGACGCCGAAGCCGGGTCAGGACCAGCTCAGAGGCCTGGATGAGACTGTGCTGTGGGGAGAGGAGGAGGAGGAGGGCCAGCTGAGACAAAGCAGGGAATGCACCTAGAC